CCAATACAGACCCTAAACCCTAAACCCTATAGTAGCTTTCTTTCCATTATCCCTATATTACCCCTATATTATACCCCTATAATCACGGATGCCAGGTTGCAGCCGCCAACAAATTCTTCAAGCGTGATCTCGCCACTTTCCTTGGCACAAGGTCTTGAACCATATAATATAGGTTTTAGGGTTTAGGGTTTAGAGTTTAGGGTTTAGGGTCCATATAATATCATAATACACCATACAATAGCATAATATACTATGTAACAGCATGATCTACTATATTATACCATAATTTACTAGCAACAGGATTGCCATGCCAAAGAAAAATGAGCTTTTATCAGAGGGAGCGTCCCTCCTGGGACGCCTGTTTTTCCTGATGTTCACCCCGATTGTTTGGCTGGAAGAAATTGCCACAATACTCCAACATTTGAACGGTGGTTTTTTCTGTCAAATTAACTTCTTGTGACGCGAAAAACGCTTCCGCGACCCAGAACGTCCTGGGTTGTTGACATCTTGCAAAAGGTTGTTTTTACGAACCTTCCGACGTATTTTTTACTCATGGAACACTTTGTCGGATGGAGGATGAGGATGAGCTGCTTCTTGACGTGAGGGAGTCAGAACCTTCGTCGTCATATTGAGACATCAATGCAACGAGCTGGTGGCGTTTTCTGCTCAGTTGCAACGCTTCACGTGGCCTATGGGGCTTGAAATTCCACTCTGCCTTCCACGAGCCTTCCGCGAAATTCCTGTCCCGAGCTTTTCAAACCACCCTATCCACATCATGCGTCTGGCTGTGGATGCTCATGTTTCCATCCCGCAATTCCGCACCCTGCGGTACTTCTCTCATAATAGACCAGCAATGTTGAGAAAGTCCCAGTGCAAAAATATGAGCCATCTGATCGGAAAGATCGATTCTCGCGCTCGTTTTTCGCATGCACCTTTTGCGTCCCTTCCGCGAAGCCAAACCCTTTCACGAACCTTCGGCGTCCTTCTGCAGCCATAGTCCGGCGCACACATTTTTGGGATGGACCTCAAAGGGTGTCGCCAAGAAAAACTACGCTGCTCTTTTGCCCATTGCGGCATGTCTTGGCGAAATTGAGGGCTTCCCACAGGCAAGCCATCAATTCACAAGTCATAGGAGTATGGGAGAATTCCAGGAAAACATGCAAGATAGCGCGATTTCCGTCGCGCTTGCTTGCCGCGCTTGTCGCATGTTCGCGCACTTTGTGTTGTGTGTTGTGGTGTAGTATGTTGTCGTGGTTGTCCCGCGTTTCATTTTCTTTGCACGTCTTGATATTGTTGGATTTCTGGTCCTACTACCTGTCCAACATTCCTTCAGCGGGAGCACCACCTTCGTGGATGTTTGTGCGTTCTTGCTCGCAGCTTCGCTTTGTTCAGCTGCTTTGTGGTTCTCATGATTGTGGCTTTCACGATTTCGCGTTTTACTTTTCTTCGCATGCCAGTGGTTGGCGTCGCGTGTTTTGCATTCCTCTTGCAAGACACACAAAATGTTTCCACGGCTTGTTGCCACATGTGCTCAGTCATGGTCATGTACCCAAAACGCCAAGTCCTAAAGCCTTGACATGTTACCTTGACCTGCAGTCGGAAATGCAGCTTGCATAGCTTCAGAAAACCCCAAATCGACGCTAAACCCTGAATCACGAGACCTACACCCTAAGCACCCCGCACCCTGAAGTCCTAACCCAAAACCCAAAGCAATAAATGCCAAACCCTAAACCTCAAACCCCAAACCCTCCAGAAAAGGGTCCCTAAACTATGGAAACTCCCAAACATGGGGACGATGCTAGGTTTTGAGGCCCAAGGTCAAGGTCTGGCTGTCCTAGGGGTAGGCATTACAAGGGTTTAAGGTTTAGGGGTCCTTACCAAAGATTTCTTCAGGAACTCCGATATGAGTGGTAGTCCCCTGGCTTTGCTGCAGCCCAGTCTCATCAGAGTCGATCACCATGAAGAGGGTCCACACATCCTGTCAGGGTATATTGGGCCACCAGCCACTAATATTAATGAAGGTATTTTGGTGCTTAGATTTGGGTCCCTAAGTTTTGCTATTGTGCCGCTCTTAGTGCGTGCTGTCCGAACCAGAGGAGTAGGGTTTAGGTTCAACCATTTTTATCTAAGCAAAACCACGTGGTTTCCCACCAGGATTTTTCATCACCCGCCCCTAGGTTCCCCAGTAACCCCATAATGATAAGGGTACCCTTTTTCCGAATATTCAGCTTTAATAAGGAGACCCCAAATTGAAAAGGGAAAAAGGGTACTTCTGGAGTACCTAGACCCCCCTTGTGAAGCATGCAACAAGTCATAGAGCACCTCGGTCGAGATGCCCAGCGATTCCATGAAACTGGAAAGCTTCTGCGTCTCCATGGCGTCCTGGTACGTATTTAGTAATGTACTAGGTGGCACTCAGGACCCCTACTAAGGGTTAACCCTTAGGTACCTATAGTAGCAATATAAGGGAATCCCAAAGGGTTAAGGGTCTCAGGTCCAAGCTAAGTCCCAAGGAGTGTAGAAGCCTACATGAGTACAAGTATCATGTTGATGTCTATTTGACGTACCAATTACCATGACTATACCACGAATCTAGGACCGTAGTATTGATGACTACTTAGGCTTCTACATTACTTGATGAATCAACTGAAGTAGGCAAAGCCAGAATATGAAAAGTCTGATCTACAATGTACAGAACAGAACAGAACAACAACTCATGCATGGGATTTGTCAGAATAAGGATACTGAACGCGTAGGTGCGGTTATCAGTGGCTTGTACCTTCTTGGCCTAAACCCCTATAAACCCTAAACCTTAAAACCCTAAATCCCATACCCTATACCCAAAACCCTCAACCCTATACCCTAAACCCTATACCCTCAACACTATACCAACCCTATACCCTAAACCCTATACCCTCAACACTGTACCCTGGACGCTAGAACCCAAACGGGCGTCCTTGAGTTCGTG